CCGAAATCGCAAAGGTGACCGTGAAAATTCCACCAATTTGGCATGCAAAACCTGAGCTGTATATTGCGCAGGTGGAGTCGCAATTTATTGCCGCTGGCATTTCGAGCGACAGGTCTAAGTACCACACCGTAGTAGCCGCCATCGAAAGCAGCGTCCTCGCACAAATTAGCGACATTATACTTAATCCGCCAGTTGAGGACTTGTATAGAACCCTAAAGATGCGCTTGTTAGAGCAGTTTGCCGATTCCGAGCAAAAAAGAATCAAAAAACTACTGCAGGATTTAGAGCTTGGAGACATGCGCCCATAACACCTGCTGCGCGAAATGCGCCATCTGGCTGGTAGCGAAATGAACGACGGTATGCTCAAATCTATTTGGCTTAACAGATTGCCGCAAAATATTCGCTCTATCATATCGATTAGCACCGAGCCTTTAGACAAAGTCGCATTACTTTTACGACAAAATAGTTGAGGCTAGCGGCGGCCCGCATGTGCACTCTGTTTCTGCACATGGCGATCAAACTTCTCTGGCGCAACAAATATGTGCTTTGACGAAAGAGGTTGCAGAGTTAAAATCAAAGTTAGAGCAACGAGGTAGAGAGAGGCGACGATCCGATTCGCGAAGACTCGCGCGCACACCAAGCAGTGGCGCGGACATTTGCTGGTACCACAGGAGATTCGTAGAAAAAGCAACAAAGTGCCGAAAGCCAGGATCTAAAGCTTTAAACTAAGAGCCCTGTCACCAAAGACGGTACGTGACAGGCCTCCCGCGACCAACCGTCGACTTCTCATCGTGGATCGAAACAGCAACCTACAATTTTTAGTGGATACTGGCGCAGAAGTTAGCGTCATTCCACCTATGCCAGCACAACGACGACAGCCAGATGCAGATTTACAGCTATACGCTGCCAACAAGCCAACTATAAAAACGTACGGCGAGAAATCCCTCTGCCTCAACATCGGTCTTCGCCGAAAACTGGAACTTTATTGTTGCGGACGTTTCGCAACCTATGCTAGGGGCCGATTTCCTGGCGCACATCAAGGTTCTGGTCGACCTGCATCAACGCAAGCTGGTGGATAGTTTGACAAATGCTTCGCAATGCTGCGCTATCAAAAAAGTCAACGGTGACGTAGGTAAATTGTCATTTATTAATCGTGATATGCCTTTTCAGGATTTGCTCTGGGAATTTAAAGACATAACACAGCAAAACCAGGGTCGGAGAAATGTCGCCCATGGTGTCACGCATCACATCATCACGAAGGGTCCTCCCGTTTTTTCGAAGCCGGGGCGCTTGGCGCCAGACAAACTGAAAGTCGCAAAAGCTGAAATTCAGTCGCTTCTCGACGCAGGAATTTGTCGCCCCTCACGAAGTCCGTGGGCGTCCCCTCTTCACATGGTGCGGAAAAAAACGTCGAGTGGAGACCCTGTGGGGATTTCAGGCGGTTAAACAGCGTAACCGAATCCGACCGCTATCCGATCCCCCATCTCCACGATTTTACACACGCACTGCACGGTTGCAAAATTTTTTCCACGATCGACTTGCGCCGTGCATATCATCAACTTTCAGTGGAAACCGCTGATGTACCGAAAACCGCTATGACGACTCCATTCGGAATGTTCGAGTTCGTTTACATGTGCTTACACAACGCCGGCCAAACGTTTCAACGTTTTATGGACGACATTCTGCGCGATTTCGATTTTGCGTGTCCTTATCTTGACGATATTTTGGTTTCCTCGAGAGATACGGACGAGTATAGACGACACTTGCGCACGGTTTTCCAAAAATTGCGCGAATTTGGCATCGTAATAAACCTCTCTAAATGCGTCTTCGGAAAGCCGGAAGTGACATTCCTTGGATACGTGGTCACTCCGGACGGTCTAAAATCACCAGCAAACAAGGTGAAGGTCATTAAAGAAATGAAAGCACCAGAACGAGTGTGCGACCTTAGACGTTTTTTGGGTATGTTGAATTTTTTCCGTCGGTTTCTACCAAAAGCAGCGGAGAGCCAAAGCGTTTTGACTAGCCTCATTAAAGGGAATAAAAAACGCGACACCTCAAAAATAGAATGGAATGCGAAAGCCAACGAAGCTTTTCAGCGTTGCAAAGCAGAGCTAGCCGCAGCCACCCTTTTAGTATTTCCTAAGCCTGGCGCACCCTTAGCACTCACCGTCGATGCTTCCGGAACGGCACTCGGGGCCGTGCTACAGCAACTTGACGGCAACCAATGGCAACCTCTCAGTTTCTACTCGGAACGACTCAATGCCGCACAACAGCGCTACAGCACGTACGACCGCGAGCTTTTAGGTGCGTATAAAGCGGTAAAGTACTTCCAAGATATGGTCGAGGGACAAAAATTTTCCATATACACGGACCATAAGCGGCTCCAATTCGCTTTTCACCAAAAAATGGAGAAAGCTTCGCCTAAGCAAATAAGGCATCTTAATTTTTTGAGCCAATTCACTTCCGATATCCGCTACCTTCCCGGCAAGGACAATGTCATAGCAGACGCACTGTCGCGCGTCGAAGCGATTCACGTTCCGCAAACAATTAACTACGCGAGTTTGGCTGAAAGTCACATTACAGACGACGAGCTTCAGCGGGTAAACAGCAATAATTGCAGCTTAGATTTAAAAGCGTTCGTCGTGCCAGGTACGGAGGCTAAAATATATTGTGACGTAAGTACTGGTAACGCACGTCCTTACCTCACAGAGCCTTTTCGTAAAATCGGATTTGAATCAATCCACAACATCTGTCACAGCGGTGCGGCCAAAACCATAAAGCTGGTAGCAGAAAAATTTGTGTGGCCAAATATGAGAAAAGACTGTCGTGGGTGGACCAACAGGTGTCTGTCCTGCCAAAAAGCTAAAATTCAACGCCACAACAAATCGCCGATATCTACATACCAGCTGGCGGATAAGCGGTTCGAGCACGTCAACATGGACATAGTAGGCCCCTTGCCGCCATGTCAAAGTTATCGGTACTGCCTCATTTGCATTGACCGTTACACGCGATGGGTAGAAGCATACCCTCTCGAAAATGTTACCGCAGAGTCAGTCGCCTACGCTTTTTACTCGAAATAGATATGCAGATTTGGCATACCATTGAGAGTCACCACCGATCAAGGGTGCCAATTCGAATCGTCGCTTTTTCGTGATCTCAACCGACTTCTGGGTATTCAGCACCTCAAAACAACGGCGTACCACCCCGCCGCAAACGGTATTATAGAGCGCTGCCACGGAACGCTGAAAACTGCGATTAAGTGTTACCAAACAGAAAAATGGGTCGAAGTATTGCCATTAATTCTTCTGGGCTACCGCTCGTCTTACAAAGAAGACATAAAGTCAACGCCAGCAGAACTAGTCTACGGTGGGACACTTCGATTGCCCGGTGAATTTCTCCACCACACGTCTAACGCCAACGCTACTCTCGCAGAAGCCGATTTTGTAAATGACCTGCGAGCAAGAATGCGCAAGCTAACGCCGACTCACACCGCCAACCACTCGAAGCCATCCACTTTTATCGAGACTCGATTGGCAACGACGCCCTACGTGTTCGTTAGAACAGACAGCGTACGCCGACCACTCCAGGCCCCTTACGAAGGGCCATATCCCGTTCTAAAACGATGTGAAAAATATTACAAAGTCGACATTCGCGGGAAGCAGGTGAACGTTAGTATCGACCGTTTAGAGGCTGCGTACGTCGTTAACGAAGACCAAGAAAGCACTCCATCGCATACCAAGCAGCCGGAATACCACACGCGTTCAGGCCGTAAAATTCGCTTTCGTTTTCAACAGGAGGGGGAGTAATGTGGCACTCAGAACTAAGTCCGTACCCCATGCAGTGCAAGGAAAATGCAACGCTGTATCTACTAAGTACGGAGTAGCACATAACCCTGGCTTCTGACAGCAGAGATTTCTTATTCTCTCTCTCGTTTTTTCTCTTGACACAGAAACATAGTGTGCTACAATTAATAATAATAATAATAATAATAGATTGGCGCTTACACATATGTTAGTGTTTGGCCGAGCTGCTCCTCCGGTTTGTGGCGTGCGCCTTGATGTTGTCACACAAAGCGGAGGGACCTACAGTTTTACGCCGACTCCGAACGGCGATTGTATTTTTATGAGAAGCTGTTTTTCATGGCAGAATTACACTCGGAGGTTTGCCATTGCCTGCCGAAGGACGACCGCTGTTAAGAAAAAACCTTTTTTCTATATTTTTTGCGATGTTGCTTTGACCAGGGTTTGAACCCAGGTGCTGCGGAGTGGAAGCGCGCTACAATTATTATTCATTTAAATAAAGTTTAAATTTAATTTTTAGTTATAAAAATACTTGTGTTTGATTTATCATAATCGCCGCAGGTGTAACGCTTCATGCATATGGTAAGTCTGTCAACACATGGGCTTTTATTGATGAAGGTTCAGCTTGTACACTTATGCAGCAAGACTTAGCAAAAGAGCTAGGTATTGCCGGTCCAAGGGAGGAACTGTGTTTACAATGGACAGATGATATTAAACAAAATGAAACGAATTCTCAATCTGTTGCCCTGTACATTTCCGCACAGCTACCTAACGCAAGGAAATTGTATATGAAAAATGTGCATACCATAACTGCACTTAAGCTTCCTGTACCATCATTAGACTTAGCTACCATATCTGCTCGAGGACATCTAAAAGATCTACCAATTGCTCCATATACTGCGGAACGAGCACGGATTCTTATTAGCTTGGACAATTTAAAGCTTATTATTCCCTCAGAAACTAGACAAAGGGAAGGTGATGAACGCGTTGCAGCCCGATGTAAAATTGTTTGGTCTGTGTATGTATAAAGGTTCACACCAACAAGTAAAGGGACACTCAAACAGACGCGGTATTGGAAGTGCGGTACAAGGCGGTACATA